CCAGAGTGACCAGAGGGTCACCAGGGACACCACGGGGTCACCAGGGGGACCAGAGTGACCAGAGGGTCACCAGGGACACCACGGGGTCACCAGGGTGACACCAGAGTGACCAGAGGGTCACCAGGGGCACCATGGGGTGACCAGGGACACTACGGGGTCACCGGGGTGACCAGAGTGACCAGGGTGACCCCTGAGTGACCAGGGTGACCATGGTGATGCCAGGGTGACCAGACTGACCAGGGTGACCTCAGTGCCCCCAGGAGGACCCTCAGTGACCCCATAGTGACTGTGGTGACCCCAGGGTGCCCCTCAGTGACCCCTGGGTGACCGTGGTGACCCCAGGGTGACCTCAGTGAGCCCTAGGTGACCCCTGGGTGACCATGGTGACCTCATGGTGACTGTGGTGCCCCCAGTGACCCCCCCGGGGTGGCACCCACCAGTTCTGGGGGACGTCGTGCAGCAGCACCAGGGGGGCCGTGGTGACCCCGGGGTGAACAGAGTGACCCCTGGGTGACATCAGTGACCCCTGGGTGACCCCTGGGTGACTGTGGTGACCCCAGGGTGACGCTCAGTGACCCCAGGGTGACCCTCAGTGACCCCATGCTGACCGTGGTGCCCCCAGTGCCCCCCTCTGGGGTGGCACCCACCAGAACCAGGGGGGACGTGGTAACCCTGGGGTGCCCTCAGTGCCCCCAGGGTGACCCTCAGTGACCCCTGGGTGACCGTGGTGACCCCAGGGTGCCCCTAGTGCCTCCCCTGGGGTGTCACCCACCAGTTCTGGGGGAATCCGTGCAGCAGCACCAGGGGGACCATGGTGACCCCGGGGTGACCAGAGTGACCCCTGGGTGACCTGAGTGACCCCTGGGTGACCCCATGGTGACCGTGGTGACCCCAGGGTGCCCCCAGTGCCCCCTCCCCGGGGTGCCACCCACCAGTTCTGGGGGAATCCGTGCAGCAGCAGCACCAGGGGGACCGTGGTGACCCCGGGGTGACCAGAGTGACCCCTGGGTGACCTCAGTGACCCCGGGGTGACCGTGGTGACCCCAGGGTGCCCCCAGTGCCCCCCCCGGGGTGCCACCCACCAGTTCTGGGGGAATCCGTGCAGCAGCACCAGGGGGGCTGTGGTGACCCCAGAGTGACCTGAGTGACCCCTGGGTGACATCAGTGACCCCTGAGTGACCTCTGGGTGACCTCAGTGACCCCAGGGTGACCAGAGTGACCCCTGGGTGACCTGAGTGACCCCTGGGTGACCCCTGGGTGACCGTGGTGACCCCAGAGTGACCAGAGTGACCCCTTGTGACATCAGTGACCCCTGGGTGACCCCTGGGTGACCGTGGTGACCCCAGGGTGCCCCCAGTGCCCCCCCCCGGGGTGCCACCCACCAGTTCTGGGGGAATCCGTGCAGCAGCAGCACCAGGGGGGCCGTGGTGACCCCAGAGTGACCTGAGTGACCCCTGGGTGACATCAGTGACCCCTGGGTGACCCCATGGTGACCGTGGTGACCCCAGGGTGCCCCCAGTGCCCCCCCCGGGGTGCCACCCACCAGTTCTGGGGGAATCCGTGCAGCAGCACCAGGGGGACCGTGGTGACCCCGGGGTGAACAGAGTGACCCTTGGGTGACATCAGTGACCCCTGGGTGACCCCATGGTGACCGTGGTGACCCCAGGGTGCCCCCAGTGCCCCCCCCGGGGTGCCACCCACCAGTTCTGGGGGAATCCGTGCAGCAGCAGCACCAGGGGGGCCGTGGTGACCCCAGAGTGACCAGAGTGACCCCTGGGTGACCTGAGTGACCCCTGGGTGACCTGAGTGACCCCTGGGTGACCCCATGGTGACCCCAGGGTGCCCCCAGTGCCCCCCCCGGGGTGCCACCCACCAGTTCTGGGGGAATCCGTGCAGCAGCAGCACCAGGGGGGCCGTGGTGACCCCAGAGTGACCAGAGTGACCCCTGGGTGAACTGAGT